CAGCTGATATTTGACAAAGGCCCGAAGTCCATTAACTGGGGAAAAGACAGTCTCTTTAACAAATGGTGCTGGCATAACTAGATATCCACCTGCAAAAAAACTGAAACAAGACCCATACCTCCCACCATGTACAAAAACTAACTGAAAATGGATCAAAGACCTAAATATAAAATCTAAAACGATAAAGATCACGGAAGAAAAAATAGGGAAAATGCTAGCAGCCATAATACATGGCATAAACAGAATATGAACCATGAGTAACAATGCACAAACACCAGAAACGAAACTAGATAACTGGGAGCTCCTAAAAATCAAACACTTAATGTTCATCAAAAGACTTCACCAAAACAGTCAACCTACAGACTGGGAAAAAATTTTTGGCTATGACAAATGTGATCAGCGTCTAATCTCTACAATCTACAAGATATCGCAAAAACTCAAGAACAAAAAGACAAATAACCCAATTAAAAAAATGGGCAAAGGATATGAATAGGCCCTTCACCAAAGAAGACATTCAGGCAGCTAAAAGACACATGAGGAAATGCTCATGATCATTAGCCATTAGAAAAATGCAAATCAAAACTACAATGAGATATCATCTCATCCCAACAAGGCTAGCATTAATCCAAAAAACGCCAAATAATAAAGTTGGAGAGGTTGTGGAGAGACTGGAACACTTATACACTGTTGGTGGGAACGTATAAAGGTACAACCACTTTGGAAATCGATTTGGTGTTTCCTTAAAAAGCTAGAAATAGAAGTACCATACAGTTCAGCAATCCTGCTCCTTGGAATATATCCTAGAGAATTAAGAGCCGTCACACGAGTAGATATATGCATACCCATGTTCATTGCAGCACTGTTCACAATAGCAAAAAGATGGAAACGACCTAGGTGCCCATCAACGGACAAATGGATAAACAAATTATGGTATGTTCACACAATTGAGTACTACACAATGATAAAGAACAATGATAAATCCGTGAAACATGACATGGAGGAATCTGGAAGGTATTATGCTGAGTGAACTTAGTCTGTCATATAAGGACAAATATTGTATAAGACCACCATTATAAGAACTCAAGAAAAGGTTTAAACACAGAAGAAAACATTCTTTGATGGTTACGAGGGTGGGGAGGGAGAGAGAGGGGTATTCACTAACTA